GTGTGTGTGTGTGTGCGCGTGTGATGCCTGTTCCCATCTCTCTCCCACTCTCCCTCCTTTGTCTTTAGTTCTCGATCTTTGTTTGCAATTTTGTGGTGACTGGTCTGTTGCGCCCTGAATTTGAAGTGAGATGTTGGGTTCGACTCACTGGGCGCAGAGGACTAATAGGAGCAATTACTGAAAGCAGGGGCGATACAGTTGCATGTACACCGGGGAAGGACCCCCCCCCCCCCCCCGCTGTACCACAACTACAGTCCACACGAAGTCTGTAGCCGTGTTGCAGAAGTGCGACCGGACACAACACGACAAGCAGCCCGCAACGACGGCGAATGTTGCCAGTTGCGCTTTTACCGAACTGGCCGGAGTAATTGCCAGTACTAGTTATTCTTCAGGGTTCCTCTTCATACAGTAGACACGCTACAACATTTAATAGCTCCGTTCGAGTCTCGACAGGTTTCTCTCTCTGCCCGCGTCCTCCGAGGCCTTTGCCTGGCCAAGGCCAGCGCCGCCCAGATACCGCGCGTCGCTCGTGGATGGCGCAGGCTGCTGAGGGACAGTGGAGATGGCATGACAGTTTCCGGTTGTCTATCACGTGAATCAGCGTTTTGGTTGAGGCCATCCTGCCAAGCGGCCTGTGGCCCGGATGCAAGCGATTTAGGGTATGTGGTTCGCGCTGCCGCTTTGCGGTTTACAGGGGCCCGGGGTTCATTACAAGCTGTCGCAAGGGCCTAGGCCTACACGTTTTTGAATCAGCATCCAAAATACGCTTTCGCAAGATGGAAGCTTGTGGCTATCGACTGTAGTGTTGAGCGGTCACAAGAATCACAAGGCATATTTCTTGCCTAGTAAAGACAGGACCACTTGAAATAGCTCACTGTCACACAGGCAGAGGAAAGCTAGCAAGGTAGTAATCCTCGTCGTCGTTTCTGCTGTGGTAGCTGCATTCTCAAGTTTTGTCCCGGAATCAGGGTTGGGGACAGATGCTGTCCAAAAAGTCATTGCGTTGTTATCACATGCATGTATTTATTAGCGTAAATAGTACCTGCTCACGCCAACAGCTCTTCAAGAAGAAGCTCGAAGCCTTTAATCTGAAGAGTCGGGTTGAGCATGCTGGTAAGGACGTCACGGTCGACTTGTTCGTGCGCACGTATCACAGAAAGAGCCTCGAGACGGCATCGGAAAGGCAAACAGAGTAACCTCAGGTCTTGACTCGAGACTCTTGGGCTTTTTGGGGCTCCATCCAGGGCCGTTTACTTGGGAGAGGTTCCCACTTAGCCTGAACACCGGACTTGGACATGGGTGTACATAGTCGCATCAGCACAGCTTGCAACTACCAGAACAGTCAAGAATAAACATAGAGTCTGTGGCCTTTCGGGTTTGGAAGGGATACATCAAGGTTGACAACCCTAGACTCCAGCGCTCTTCAGCCCAGTCGCTGCCCTGCCTTCCCGGCCTCAGTGCCCAAACCTCAAATCGATGAGTTCGAAGCCCCACACCATCCAACGTTGGCGGGTGATTTGTTGATGTGTACAGACCTAAACATCAGCTTCGACATTGAGTTGAAATGAAAGGCTAGAATCTCGATGCGTCTTGAGAAACCGAAGTCTCAAACCCGAAACGACGACCAAGGGAAGGAGCTCGAGTTGCTTCTGGAGTCTGTCGAGGCCTTCAGGGCCTCTCCAGAGAGTCGGGTCATACTATAGTATGCTATAGTCTGTTATGACTTATTATGAGTACTTGACGGAGTTACAGTATGTCATTATGGAACCTGGTGTAGCTTCCTGTGGGATGTATGAGGATTCGGATGCAGACGGACTGTTGAACCGTTGGCATTGCACCCCTTCGCCGGGAAACCTGGTTCCTAACAAGTCTGAAATCTTGCCTTTTTGCGGCTCTGTGTGGCGATTTGGCTGGCCCCAGCTCCCCCCGATGGTCTCGCGGGACAGGCTCAAAGAAGCCCGGCTCCTGATCGCAGGCACACGTCGTGTAATTCAGGCCATTCCATAAGCCAAACTCCTGGTGCAGGCAAATTACAGAAGTCGTAGAAGCCCAAGCCCGGAAGATCTGTCAATCCAGCGTAGACAAACGTGGCCGGATGGCTGCTCCTGCCGGCTGCAAGCCTGGCTATGCAAAAGGCCAGCTCACATGGGTTGGCCGTTTGTGCATTCGATTCTGCCATCTGTACACAATTCAATCTACATTCATGTCGAGACGTCCAGTGAGTCTAGGCTAGCACTTAGCCAAAGCCCTCTACACCCTTGGCTCCATCAGTCGACACCCTCCTCCAAAGCCGTCAAGGCCTAGTCAGCAAGACCTCAAGCCGAGCACTCTTTCAGCCAAGTGGCATCTGACACATGAGTGGATCGCTTTAACCTGTACGTAGGATTTAGGATCTACGAGGGTTTAAACATTATGGTACGATCCGTGGGGTTTCGCGGTTCAGGGTCTTCAAAAAGGGGTCGGCGGCTAAAAGGTTACATGTAGGGTTCGGGGTTGACATCACCTGCCCAAAGCAACCTGTGTTTGGCGCTCCTTCCTGGGACTGCTAACGTCGGAGAAGAGAGGATTTGGATGCCTTTGTATGTTTCGGGCTAACAACCTCCAACCCCTTTATGCTGTTTTTTTGTTGTTTTAGTTACGGCACTTGGGTGTCTTGAAGATGAAACAAGCGATTTGACCATTGCAATCAAAGAGCCTTCAGGTGGAATTGCAGAGCACAGAGGAAGGTTTCGGCCCCTTACAGGGCCCAGCGACGGCTCTCGCATCTCGCCCATTTAGCTGGTTCAGATTCCGTAGAATCCGGCAGAATTCCATCAGATGTTGACACAATGTTTGTAACGAGGTCGTCTTTCTGCATGGGCGAGGCGACACCGGTCACAACATGTTGCCAGTGGTTCGGAACTCGGACTGTGGGTTGCGGTTGTCGGAAGGTCGGCAATCCATGTACTTGCGAACTCTGCTATTCCTGATTGTTCCTGGCACGGTTAAGTGCATGCATGCACACGCATGCATCTAGGTCTCCGCCCTGGCCTCCGCGATTCCAACCGCCCGTTTTTGGCTCCCGACGGCACCCCGAAACGAGTTCCTCGATTGCAGTGTGGAAGGTCGGCATCCCATGAACTTGAATTGCTGACTCGTGATTCCGGGACTACATGCTTGAAGCCGTGTAAAGGGGCGTTTCATTCTGCAGTCACAGGCGACGATCATGGGTGGGTTCGGTTTTTTTCGTTGGCTCAGATTCAATGTTACACACCCCGCCTGCCGTCGCATTCCGATGCTACTTGTACGGGCCTTGAACTGCCATATAAGCTCAAGTCCCACACCTCCGTCCCTAAGGAGCCCGAAAGGCAACACGTACTCACAACTATCGATTCCATGATGCTCAAATTATTCGTCCTGCGTTCCTCCATCCCAAATCTCCTCCGGCCGCTTGTGGAAGGCAGGGGCGCGCTTCTTGGTACGAGACGGACAGCGCAGGACACGTGGTGTCTCGAGTTTAAGGAAGCGCGGTCTTGCCGTCAGCTTCGTATTTGTCATCAGCATGCCCAACATCTGCATCATCACCATCCTCATCATCATGGTCTTCTTGTTTCCGTCTCCGCTTTAGGAGTGCCGAGCTGCAGTAGCATAAGCAAATTGAGGAGCAGCAGCCTGGCCGGGTGTTTGCAGTGGCTCCGTCTGGAGACATCTGTGAGGAAGCTAGGTACATGTGTATATGGCCTTCAAACTGGCTGTATGAGCAGCGTCCTGTAGGACAGTTTGACCAGCGCATCTACGAATTGCGCCGTCAGCTCATGACGCGAGTTCAGCGCCTGGGCCTGGCTGATGATACAAAGACAACCATGCCATGCAACGGAGCACGCTGGTATCAAAGCACTTGATAGTTCGAATGCTTAGGTTGCAACCCTGTTGCCAGGGAGTGGTGTGGGTTCGGTTCAGGGGTTTGGTGCCTGTAACTGGTAGTTTGATCGAGTGGCAGGGTGAGGCCGGCCGTCTGTGGACTTGGCATGCTTTCCCTTGCATGCTAGATGTCCCGAAAGGACGGACTGCCAGAAGCTTGGTCTGCAACTGTCGCAGGCAGGGACTGTTGATCCTGATTGCTGTGGCCGGTGCAGTTTTCGTGCCGTCGTCGTCGTCGGTGGTGGCAGTCGTTGTTGCTTTTTGCTGCTGTTGCTGCGTCAGGTGCTGCTGCTGCCGCTGCTGCTGCTGCTGCTGCTGCTGTCGTTGTCGCTGTCGTTTTCTTCTTCAGCCAATTGGGATGCGGTTGTGGTTGCGGTGGTCGTGGTCGTCATCGTGGTGGTTCTTGTTCTTGTTGTTCTTGTTCTTGTTATTGTTCTTGTTGTTGCTGTTGCTGTTGCTGTTTTGCTGTTTTGCTGTTTTGCTGTTGCTGTTGCTGCTGCTGCTGCTGCTGCTGCTGCTGCTGCTGCTGCTGTTGCTGTTTGCTGTTGCTGTTGC